ATCAACGAAAATGAAGCAATGATTCCAACGCCCTTTGCGAACGATTCAGGAACGCCGTATTTGGCAGGCAGATGTCGTCGTAAGGGGTCGTATGCGAGTGACCGGCAAGGACTAGCAAATGCCGTGTGCCATGTTTCGCTCCAGAAAGACGCAAGTGATGAAGCAGTGTAGACCGGTCCAAAGAGCGGAGGGCTAGTCTTGTAGCGGAGGAGGAGCTGTAGTGATTCCCAAATGACGTAGATAGCAAGGAGAATCTGAATCGCTTGAACAGTCGGATTGGATAGCGGGAAAAGGAACTGGGTAGCTAGAAAGAAAGCTACGTGTATGACTAGATCGAATGCCTCTGAGAATCGATGGGGAGTTTTCCGTCCTGGTGTTTGCAATGAGGCTACTCTCTTGCCGAACGTAGTGAAGATCTGTTTGCCGCCCTTCAGGTCTCGCTTCTGGTAGCAGACGTATTCTGCCGTGGTGTCTGCTTCCAGCTGGGCTGGAGCAGGAGCTGTACGGAGGTAGTTTGGTGTAAATGATTCGTATCTCAGCTCCGTGAAGAGAAGCAGAGCAATGATGCTGTCTGAAGGCGGATTCGGATCGGTGTATTTAGGAGGTGATTTCCTCCGGGCATAAAAGTCCAGTGCCTTCATGCTACCAATTGCAACTGTTACCATCATTAGTATCATGTATGCTGTAGGCAGGTCACTGGCTAGTCATTGAGTCAACTGTGTGATGCTTACCAGCGAATAGTTGCAGGCTTCGAGCAACGGAGCATTCCAGCACAACCAGAGTCCCGTTGGCAGCGAATGCAAAGATGGCCATCCAATCCAGCATCACAAACACGCCAATCTTCTTCTTCACAAGCGCGTACAGCGCCAGATAGAGCAAAGCAGCTGGTATCATCAACGAAACGAGCCCGGTTCTGATATCAGACCCGGCTTCTGACAGGGCTCTCTGAGCAGCCGGCGAGATCTGTGGCATGGCAATCAAGCACTGGGGTATCATCCTGGATTTTCCTTCTGGGCTCCTATCAGCCTCTTCTCTCCTCCCTCCAACGCGACTCTCTAACCTTGGTTTTCGTGTCCTTTGCTGTAATCTCGATGATGACCGTGGTAGATCTAGCAGACCCGTCAACCGCCGCGCTCAACTGATGGCTGCCAACGAGACGAGGCATTCAACCAGGCAGAGGCTGCAGTAGTGTGGGGATAAATGTCTTCAGGTATAGGACAGAGGTTGCTTTCTTTTTTTTATTCTTTTTTCCTGTGTGATTCTAGTGATATATCGGCGTTTGCATGTGCATGTCCTAAGGGTGGCATCCGGATGCATCTATGCAGCCAGGCGGAGGACGTCCTGCAACTAATATCTCTATAAAACAGACAGAATCTGCAATAAGGTGTCCTGGCTATGTATACTGGCAGCAATGGCTAGAAGAAGTGATGCTTGTCTAGCTGCCAGACAATTGACGTAAGGCTGATCAGCAGTTGGCTTGTTCTATAGCAGGAGATCCAGGATGATAGTTAATTAGCCAGCCATTAAGACATGAGAGATACTTTTATATACAGCCACCCTGTCATTTAGGGCTGTCCATTAGGGTCACAGTAAAAGTGGATAAAGAGGATAGGATTTCTTGGTCCATGCCAAACAGCTGTTCTTCACTCTATTATAAATGGGTGGAAAAGTGCAAAGATGGCCCCTTTACTGGCTGGTCCTAACAGGGGCTTCAAGCGACTCTCGTACGTCTCCTGCATCCCGTTGCCCGGATAGATCGGAGGGCCTTCAGGCTGCCCGGCAGGCTGTTCCCTGACCCTGTCCGGAGCCTCTCTTCGGCCGTGTCACAAGCAACGGCTCCATTATTCTAGAATGCTGGCTGGCTGGGTCAACCCTCGGCCTGCGGGATCAGCACTGCATGCATCCAACTATGACGGAAGGCTTACAGTTAGTCTGAGCTGTGGGCTCTGGGAAAAGAATCGTCATTATTTTAGCATTTGTATTGCATTTAGTTACACTTCACGCCAGACGCTGTTAACGAATAATCAAGAAATCACCGACGGTGCCTGGACAAAAGAAAAGGCGAACGCTCTCAGTCTATCTTCGGAGAGGTGGTGCTTGCTAGCTATAGTCCTGTAGCAGCGAGTTTGTTGGCCAGTTCATCAACCTTGCTATCCGGCTCCTGGGCAACCTTCTCGTTTTCAGCACGTTCGGCGTCTTTAACGACTCGCTCGGCCTTCTCCTCGACCTCCTCCTGGTCTTCTTCTTCCTCCTCATCTTCGTCCTCTTCCTCCTCCTCGTCTTCGTCTTCGCTCTCCAGCTCATCAAGCTCATCCAGTCCCCAGGCGGATTCGTCCTCATCCTCCTTGCCCAGCTTCTCCTTGCGCTCCTCAAGCAAGTTACGGAGATCCTCGAGGTTCGAATCCTCTTCGTTCAGCTTATTTCCATTCAACTCAACTCGCTTCAACACGGGGAGCGAGGTCTTTGCCGCCTCAACGAACTCCTTTAGACCCTCGGCGGTAATGTCGTTGTACGCTAAACGGAGGATCTCAATCTTCTTGTTCTCTCCCTTTGCAAGGCTCTTTGCAACTCGAAGTGCGCCTTTACCCTTTAGATAGCAGTCACTTAAACTAATCTCACGGATGTTTGGCCATCCGGTAACGACGCGGGCCAGAACCCGAGAGCCAGTCATGGTAAAAGTGTTATCCTGCAAATCCAACACTTCAAGCTCAGGAGCATGCTGCAGACCGCCATCCAGCAAAAGCACTATTCCGTCCTGTCGAATGCCGTTCTGCGTCATCCGTATGCTGCGAAGCCCCTTTCCATGGTCCTTTACCATCTTCGCCCACGCAGCCATGCTCCCACTCTCAAGTCTGTTGCGACCACATACTATCGTCTCCAGATAAGGCACTGGAACCTTTGGGTTGGCCGCCCGAGCCTCCTCCTTTTTCGCATGCAACTCTCTCAGTGCATCAGCAATAAGATTTCCGGCCTTGGGGCCGAGACCGTTATTATTCAATATTAAATGGCGTAGCGGGGTGTGCGCTTTCAAAAACTCGACAAGAGGCGCCTGAGTATTGAGTCCAAACGCATTATCGCTTAAATCGATCGTCTCGAGAGTTTCGACTTCACGTAGAGCTTGTAGAAGGAAGGACAGAGCCTGCGGTATCTCGTCGAGCAGCCGAGAGGTGAAGATATCGGCCAGGTTGGCTGTGTGTAGCTTCTTCTGGGTTCGGAGGACGCTGGCTAAGCGCTCGCTCGCCGGGACACCAAATGTATTCCCACCCAGACGGATCTCTGTAATAACATCGTTCGTTTCCACAAGAGGCTTAATGAACGGTTCCAGATCAGCCGCGGAATCAAATCTCTGTCCCTTGCCCTCGATCGAGAAGAGAGAGGCAGAGGCCATGGTGGGGTAGGTCTCGTTCCTGGAGTTCTAGATGTGCTCCAAACACAGACGGATGTTTTACCCCTCCAACACCGGGAGAAAGGGCGTATCCTAGAGAAGATGTAAGATAGTCAATATCCAGTGACAGACAGCACAGTAGCCGGCGCTGTCGACAAGTCCACAACTGTTTTGTCTCTACCGGAAAAGGAGAAAAGGAGACAAGGAAGAAAAAAAGGAGGCTCCAAAAACACTAAAAAAAAAAAGACCCCCACGAAGCTTTTTGGCGGGCGCAATTGATAAATGACTAAGCCGGAGTGGTAATATAATTATCCGTATTACTAATACGGACCGACTGCGTGGGTCGCTTCGGACCCGCCGGATTTAAAAGGGGGCGTGCTTACTCAGCAAGAAAATGGCCGAAGCTTCGTCGACGCTTGAGAAAAGCATCAGGAGACAGCGTCATTCATTGTCAGGCATCAATATCGACCACAGTCGAGCACTTCTCGCTACACACTCCTTACAGCCCCGTCACTCGTTCTACCGCCACAATGTTTGGTTTTATCTCAGGATTCTGGCCTAGTGAGTATATACGCCTTACTCTTGGAAATGCGAGTGCTAACTTAGACCGCAAAAAGAGCCCATCGCAGAGGAGAAGCCTGCTGCTGCTAGCCTTGCCATCCCCAACCAAACCACAAAGCCAAAGGTACGATGCACCGGATATACAGGATACGCTCTTATTGAAACGAAACTCTTGTGCTGACTGATACTTGTTGCTACCAGCCATGCTGCGTCTGCAAAGAAGAAAAAGCCACCCGAGATGATTGCATGCTCTTTTCCAAGTCCAACGACCCTGCCTCAGGAGAATGCTTGACATACGTACAAAAGTACAAAGACTGTATGGCTGGATTCGGATTCAAGGTCTGAGACAATTGTATTGGAAGATGGAAAGGGAATATGAAAAGCCTTCAAGTCTATCTTGGATCTTGGTAGCTCGTGAATAGATTTTGCGAGTTACTAGATTAGCCGTAGCTGCGGTTATCTTTATTATGGCTGGTAATCAAATCTAGCTGCTGTACTTCTTTGCTGTATAATATGGGTTGGGGAAAAGAAAAGGCTATAGAACGGGGCGCATAATCTGAGGGGCCCTGGGTGCATTGTATAATTATCTTAATTGAACAGAATCTCTATTCAATTCAATTCTATGCTCGTATCGTCAAATAAGACCGGGAGTAAACCGGATAGGGTAAGAGGTAGTTTTTAAAGTCTTCTCTTGCCGTATAATGGAGAAGTGGGGGATAGATACTGGGAAGGGTGATGTCGGACACTTATGATGAACAAGCTGTGTTCCTGTCCACGGAATGTAGCGTTGACTTGGACATGCTTGTCTGCATTCAAAGTAGCACTCAGTTGTATGGTGAAGGTAGATAATCCATATGAGACTTGCATTATTAGCCGCATGAAATACCTCGAGAGAAGGTAATATCGGGAAGGGGTTCAAAGTTAAACTGTCAGAGGAGGGAGGCTGATGAATCTTAGGTTGACATCAAGCCTGGGGGTATCAAGAGAGGAGCTGAGGAGGTGTGTTTGCTATTCTTTGGGCCTTGAGTTGAGGAGTTATCAATGAGAAAGTTGGCTAGCTCTTGGGGCCTTTCTGAGTTTTGGAGTCAGTCTTGGAGTCCGTTGCCCCTTTGACAACGATATTTTGTTCTTTAACCTCTTCAAGGGGCACTTTTCCAGGAACTGTACGTTTGCGCTTCGGGGTCAAGGATGGCGGCTGCGGTTCAAAGATGACCGCTTGTATGAGTTTCCAGTTGCACCAAAGGTAGATAATTCCAAAGCCTGATGCACCTATTAGTGCGTTCAGGACAACCCATAGATCTGGTTTTGTAGGCGGCGGTGAAACGTTGCTTTCAAGAAGATGCCACCCAAGCATGGCTGCATAGTAAGATATATGGATGAGCTTGGTTTTGGTAAATAGCTCCACGGAGTTCTGTGCAGGGCTGCGACTCCTATATAGATCAAGAGAAATTGGCGGTAGTCCTAGCAAGTACGCCCATAGGAGCGTAAGGACAGTATAGGGAATGCGTAACTCGTCACGCTTTAGAAGTGGGAACATTGTCCATACGCCGAGCATATTAGCCAAACCAACCCAAGCACGTATTTCTTTGCTAAGTCCACCGGAGCTTCCCAAGAGCAAAGTCATGGGTAGAAGAGGTAGTAGAACGCTTTTCTCATGGACCTGGAAGGAGCAGAGAAAGAAACCCCAGCCAGTGCTTGCTAAGGCATAAGGGAGAAGATGGGTGCGAGGATATCGTCCAATTATCAAACAGGATGGCATTATGGTGATGAGGGTAGCGCCCAGGGCTGCGAGCTTGAGTATGCTGGGGTCGAACTTATTGAGCTTGTAGAAAGTGTGGATGGCACACCACACGTTGGCAACCTTGTCTTCGAACAATCCACGTGCAAATGGGAATATACGGTGAATACACTGGGTAAGCTGTACAACTACCTGATAAAGCCAGGAGGTTTCATGTATCTGTATTGGAAGTAATTTCATCAACGGTGGTAGGTTATCAGGCCCTGGGATGTTGCGGTACCAGTCTGCGAGCGATCCAGCGAGGAGGGGTGCGAACAGTACGGCAAAGGCAGCGATGGTAATCAGAGCAATGCCGAGCAGCCTGTTGGGTCTAATCCGAGGAGAGAAGCAAATACCCAAGAGATAAGCAAACACAACCGGAGCAAAGTAGAGTGACATTTGCTTGAACCCCAGGGCTGCGACAAAGAATATACTTGCCCATAAAGGCCTACCAGCGTACATGCTTTCAAGCGAGGCAACTATGAAGCCAAGCATCACAGTGTTGTACTGGAAATGCCCATGGTCGATAAGAATTGTAGACGGCTGCATAAGTACCGCGCAGAGAGCAATGGAGCCTGGCCATGGTCCAACGCCTTGCTCACGAGCATATCTTCGCAGAAAGATGACAACAGCTGGGATATAAACTAGGTACTCGGAGACAACAACTGTGGCTCTCATATAAACCCTCAACAGTGGCCCTTCTAGACCACGAGATTCGTCCAATGCAAACCATGTTGGATCGACTAGTTGGCCTCTGCATTCTGTTAGGCACTGGCTCTATAATGCCGTGATGTAGTAGTGGTGTGTGGAACATACATCTTCCCTAGTAGCCAGCTATGGTAGGCTGTCAATGGGGGGTAATCCAATCCCCAGTATTGCAGATCGTAGAAATACCACCAAGAAGTGGGGAGGTGTATAGTGAGTTCCATCCAGTGCCTTTGGGCTTCAAAGTCGCCATGCATTGGAGGTACACCATATCCTGTACCAGATATATCAGTATGGGCGTATGTGTGAATACATAGATACATACAAAACACATACCAGAGTGACCCCACAACGAAGTCCCCCATCGGAAGAGGCCAACAATCATCAAGACGACGGGAAGAATAAGCCATTGAGATACACCGGACCGCGCAGGCCAGAAGAAAGACACCAAGGGGAGAGCCGGCACATAGGCATCTTGGCCCTTGGACACTACCAGGTCAGTGTTGAGCCCAGATCCCGACAAAGCTCGGCGTTTCTTTCGAGGCCTGCGAGGCGAAAGCGTAAGAGGTGCCATTGTATCAGTAGCAAGGTCCGTCCATCAAGGTAAACAGCGCAGCAGACACAGAGAGGTCTGGATTGTACAGATCAAACCATCGGCTTGTCAACTGGTCTAGTTATGTTGTTTGATACTTGCGATTCTCCATACAAACAACTCGCAAACGTCGCAAGCTTCCTAATTCGGACTTTTAGGGAGTGACAGGATGACTAAGCAGATAGAAGTGCCCTGGACATAAGCTAGTCCTTTTTGGGACTAGCGAGCGGAGAGCTAAGTAAAGGCGGTGAGCGTGAAATTTCAAGCGGCAGAAAAAAGCTCGAGCAGAAAAAAAAAAAAGCTTCATCAATAAATTGAACTTTTTCTGCTTTCAAACTTCACAGAATTTCAACCTCATCCATCAACACTTCATCACTTTTACTTCTCTTAAAGAGACTTCCAGATTCCGAGTCGCTAGAAAGAGCGCTATACGTTCTGTATAGAACTCTTACTGCAACTCGCTGCATTTCCTGTGGGCTTCTGTGGGCTTGTCGCGTGAGATTTTCTTACTTGAGGGCTTTACTGTTCGCTTGTGGGCTGAGGCATTGAGATCTTGACATCTGTGGGATTTTGATTGCTTATATCTGCATTGACATAGACCGGATCATTCGAAAGAGTGTCCGTCTCGTTGGCTTGTGGGTTATCTGTGAGATCAATATTCTGTGGGCTCTTGGTTGCTGTGGGCTTTTGAGAATCAGTTCCTAGTTGGCTCTGTGGCTGCGTATTACTCTGTGGGCTCTATTATATACATACTGAGGGTTACTCATTACGTGGGATTTTATCTCCTGTCTTTCTCAAAACATCAAGTGGTGAGTATTGCCCCGGTGCTGGCTCCCGGTATCTTCTAACACGTATTGTAGGGAATCAATCAAAATGAAGGCTCCAAAGGTTAAATCTGCTGCAAAGGAGGACAAGGTCCTTACCAAGGTCAAGGAGGGCGGTGTGAAGAAGTCTACCTCGAAGTCGAAGGTCCCTGCTGAGGTTGTCGCTAAGAAAGTTGAGAAGTTGAAGAAGAAGGCTCCTACTCCATCCGAGAGCTCTGAGTCTGAGAGCTCCGAGAGTTCTGACAGCTCTGAGGAGAGTGAGGAGGAGGAGGAGAAGGCTGCTCCTGTCAAGAACGGTGCTGCTGCCGCTGACTCTTCGTCTGAATCATCTGACTCGGACGAGTCTGAATCCGAGGACGAGAAGCCAGTCAAGAATGGCGCCAAAGTCGCCAATGGCAAGAAGGCCGACAGTGAGAGTGAGAGCGAGAGCGAGAGCGACGAGGAGGACAGCGAGGACTCTGATGACGAGGAAGAGGTAAAGAAGGCTCCTAAGGAGACCAAGGCTGCCGTTAAGAAGGACGAAGACTCTGAATCTGAGGACTCTGACGACTCCGAGGAGTCCGAGTCTGATGAACCTGCCAAGGCAAAGAAGGTATGTCTACAGTTGCTCTTTGTTCTGTCGAGAGACTTGACTAAGAAGATTTCTAGGATGATGACGAAGAGGATGATGATGAGGAAGATTCTGATGACTCTGACTCCAGCGAGGAGGACGAGGAGAAAGAGGCTGAGAAGCCACAGAAGAAGCGCAAGGCCGAGGAAGATGCCGAGCCTGTTGCTAAGAAGGCCAAGGTTGACGTTCCTGAGGGTGCCTCTGCCAACCTTTTCGTCGGTAACTTGTCCTGGAATGTCGATGAGGAGTGGCTCCGCTCCGAGTTTGAGGAGTTTGGTGAGCTTGCTGGCACTCGCATCGTCACTGACCGCGAATCTGGCCGATCCAGAGGGTGAGCATATCAACTTCTTATTAAATGTTAAGTCCTTGCTAACAAAGCTCATCAGATTCGGATATGTCGAATTCGTCAATGTTGAGGATGCCGTCAAGGCTCATACAGCTAAGAAGGACGCAGAGCTCGACGGCCGCAAGATGAACCTTGACTACGCCAACGCCCGTGCCAACGGCAACGCAAACCCACGCGAGCGTGCTGACAACCGTGCCAAGTCCTTCGGCGACCAGACCAGCCCCGAGAGTGACACCTTGTTCATCGGCAATATCTCCTTCTCCGCCGACGAGAACATGGTCCAGGAGCTCTTCTCCAAGTACGGAGCGATCCAGGGCATCCGCCTGCCCACTGACCCTGAGTCTGGCCGCCCCAAGGGCTTCGGCTACGTCCAGTTCTCCTCCGTTGACGAGGCTCGCGCTGCCTTGGAGGCCGAGCACGGTGCTGACCTTGGTGGCCGTTCCATCCGTCTTGATTTCAGCACCCCCAGACAGCCTGGTGCAGGTGGTGACCGTGGTGGCCGTGGCGGTTTCGGTGGTCGTGGAGGTCGTGGCGGCCGTGGTGGACGCGGTGGCTTCGGTGATCGCGGTGGCCGTGGCGGCGGTCGTGGAGGCCGTGGAGGCGCTGGAGCTTCCTTTGCTGGCAAGAAGACCACTTTCTAGGCCTGAATCCCACGATCGACCTCTTATTTCATGTTTCTGTTACGAACGGTAGAGCGTCTGATGACTCTCCAGGTAATGTATAACATCCATCTTCACCCCCAAAACGAAACCCAAAAAAAGTGCCTGTTTCCCGGAGTTCCTGTTATAATGATTTCTGTTTCCGGCTTCTTTTTTTCTCGTTACTTTCCTCTTTCTTTCTGTAGAGTGTTGCCCGCTTGTCCTTTTATAAACTCTTAGGGACTTTCAAAAACAAAAATGAAGCAAAAAAGGAATTTTTATCTTATCGCCGAAGACGATCTTATCTTATCTTTCCTTTCTCCAAGTGTTCTTATCATCTGCTTAGTCATCTGACGTGAACCGTTTGCGGGGTAAAGCCAGCTCTTGCCACGCACTTTTTGTGCAATAACACGACGCACTGCTGCTATTTTCTCTAAAACCCACTGCCTTATGCACACATCCTGCTGACATAATCTGCCATGCTCCTGCGCCTTCACCGCCATCCCGCTTTCGTCATCTTCTTTTCTTCTTCCTCCCTTTTGTTGGTTTCGTAACTACAACACACTCCTTTTATATATACCCAGGACGATATCCAGGCGATGTCCAGGAGTCGCTGGCCCTGTTCGACTGCCAGGGTGAATGAGTGAGACAAGTACGGTCGAGTGTTGAGTACATTGTCGATGCTGATACCCTCTTCCTCGTGCTACAGTCAGGTGAGAGACAAGTTGCCTCCTGTTATAGGCCATCTCTGACATATTTACGACAGACACCTTTCCTCTTGATCTCTTCAACCATATCGCTGGTGATTTAGCGTGGATAAAGGGAGTCGCATGGAGCTGGCTTGTGCCGCTACTTTGAGTGCATGTGTATGTGTTTTTACCCGCCTCCGATAAGAGTCGGCGTGAGGGAAGACTGCATTCAATATGGATGCTTTTGCCAGCATATGCTGATATTTGCAGTTATTCTAGCGAAATATCTGGTTTCGTTCCTTTCTCCCGACATCCGTGTACTGAGAGTCACCCGCAAGGTCCGGTTCGTCGCAGCCTAGACCGGTTTCCCGCCGCCTAGAGTGGATATATATATCTCGCCTTGGTGTGGAGGGAGACTTGAGCGAGATACATGCAATCTACACCGCTCACCACACCACCATGGCCTTGACAAACACATCACCAGAGCGTGGCATACGCCCTCAAGCAGCGCGAGAAGGTCATCCTCGCCGGTCAGAAGGTGAGTTCACGTCTTGATCTGGTTCTGATCGGCTTTTGGGGTAGCATAGACCCTTCTGGAAACAGGATTCAACTCCCGTCTCTGCCAGAAAATCGCTACAACTCCTTCCAACAGCCTTGCCGTCCCTGCATGAAACACCTCGTTTATGCATTGATTTATTGGATATCACAAAAGCCTCAAAGCGTGTTACAATGTACTCATTTAGGTATTACATAGATTCTTGGATCGAACTCTCGTCGCAGCCTTCTTCATCTTCCTTGTCTTCGGCCGCCACGACCGACGACATCATCACTACGGGGCTGAGGGTCCAACAGCTTCGAAGACGGCGAGCGACGCACCATCACCACCATAACCATAACCATCGTGCCGGTTACCATGTTCCACCGCAGGACTTGGAGATCGGCTACTCGCATCGTTCCTCGAGCACGACAGGAAGCAGTCAAGATGAGAACGAGGAGACGGAGAGCGAGTCAGACAGACTCTCAAACGACGACTTTCCAACTCGGCTTCAGCCCGATATGAACATGTTACCAGAGATCTCATCGCAGTCAGATGGAACTCTTTCAACCGATGACGATGAGGATGACGAGGACGATACCTCTACAGCGCTGGGATTCAACCCACAGCCCAACGCCTTCTCTCACCCACCTGCCTCGATTAGAACGGGACAATCACGAAACTCGCTTGATTCGGCGAGACTACCGCAGAACCGACGAAACTCACGGTCCAGCCTGCCCGGCATGGGATCTCGACGGTCCTCGGTCCAGCACTCTCCCTTCAACATGATCTCACCATCTCACCAGGCAGACCACGACGCAGCTCTGCGGGCAAGCCTTTCTACTCTACTATCCTGTGCTGCCGCAGCCCGTGGCCTACCAAAGAACGACAGCCAGCCGTCGGTAGCAGAACGATCACCCCCGAGAGCAGAGCCATCGACCTTCCGTCTGCTCCCAGGGGCAAACGACACAGAAGAAGAGCCGTTTGTTCAACAGATGCACGCCCCTCCACCTCCAGCATCAGCACCATCCCGCTTCCAACCATCAACATCCCCATCCCCCTCTCCGAAGCGCTCACGCTCCCCTATCTCTGCTGCTGCTCACGGAAAAGCACGACGACGAGCCAGCCCCTCCAAGGACCGTGCCTCGACAAAAAAGGCTGGACGAGCAATGCTTTCGTCATCATCATCATCATTATCATCAGAGACTGCCACCAGCAGCAGCTACCGCTCCATCAGTCCCACCGTGATGACGTGGGTCATCAGTGCGGGCGTGGTAGTGCTTTTCTCCGCCATCAGCTTCTCCGCCGGCTACGTTCTTGGCCGGGAAGTTGGCAGAGTTGAGTCCGGCCAGGCCCTATATGGGAACGGACTCAGCAACGTCAGCGAACCTGCGACCAGCAGCTTTGCCACGCTCAAGTCAGGAGCTGGCTGTGGCAGAGAAGCCGTTCGGGGTGGTCTGGGACGATTCCGATGGACAGGAGGCAGCGTCTCCGCATGAACCTGACGTTTTTCTTTTTTTTTTTTTTCTTTTTCTTTCCAGCTTCTTCCCGGATCGACGGAAGCATCCCATGTACCTCTTCCCATCACTCTCCAACAAGCGCAACGAGGTGACAACAAGACTTTTTATATGAAGCCGGGAAAGAATCCAGTTATATGAACGGGCGCCCTGGAAAGACTGCGGCATTTTACAGACTGGCGGCTGGGCTCGGAGTTCACTAGGACACATCGCATTGGGTGGTGTTCTCTTTTCATTCTCTTTGACTCGTTTTTCTTTTTTATCTGCTTGTCTCTTTTTTGCTTTTCATGATCTTCTCATTGACCGGCAAGTTAATTACGTGTGCCGATGCTGTTGAATGGATGTTTATGCCGGCGTCTCTTTTCCATCGTCCTTTTTTGACATCTACTGCTCCCCCCCCCCCCCCCTTTGCCCGTTTATTTTGACAGTCTTAGCAAAGCCCCTTTTGAGTATCCAATTTGCCAGTACAGCTTTACTTCTTCTGCGTCTTCCAAGTACTTCTTCAAATGACTATATAGCAGTTTAATATATATCCCTTCTCCTCTACCTTCTTATCCTCGTATATATAAACAGCACTAACAGGCCCTTGCTGCCCTTGGCGACGTTTCGCAGCCGAAGATCCGGCCCTGCTTGTTCTCTTCCAATAATCCGCTTCGTCTTCTGCTGCCCCTCGTCTGCCTTCTTGCTCCCCCACCTTCGGGATTTTGTGATAAATTCTTCTTCGTCCTCCTTTCTTCCTCCTTTTCTTCTTCTTCCAACATCACCATCATTTGATATCGCCAATTCATCGCCAATCTCCTCGCCCACTTCGACTAGTTACTAGACGGTACGAAGCCAGAAGCCTCGAGGTCGCGAATACAGGGGACGGCCTCTGTCATGGAGCTCCCGTCCCAGTTCGCTATGGATTCATCCAAGAGTCAAGGTATTTGTGGTATATATCATCATATCAGTCACGAGTGACAGGTGTTCGGCCTGGCGTCTCTCGCTTTCGTCCCATCTTGATATCTGATCATAGCCATCATAATATATGATCGTCTTGACGCCGGCGACCGCGAGAGACCGCCGGCCGTTCTGAGATTATACTGTCTGAACTTGATCTAGATAATTCTAGCGAAAGGACACACGCGACTTCACTTCTCCCCCTTTCTCTCTCTTCTCATGTTTACCCCCTCTGTACGAGGGTGCTGTGTGATGCTGACAATGACCAGTCTGACCGGCCGTAATCAACCATGTCTACCGACAAGATTACCTTCCTCACCAACTGGTAGGTTCTTCTAACGCTTATAGCCACTGAATCTCTGTCTTCTTACATTTGCGTGATCAATTGATGCATTGCTTGCTGCTGCTGTGTTGTGTCCTGAGCTGGAGAAATAACTGTTTGAAGGCATGCTACGCCCTACCACGCCCCCTTGTACCTCGCCCAGAAGAAGGGATACTTCCAGGACGAGGGCATCAAGGTCGCCATCCTCGAGCCCAATGACCCTTCTGATGTCACCGAGATCATTGGAAGCCAGAAGGTCGACCTCGGCTTCAAGGCCATGATCCATACCCTTGCTGTCAGTTGGCCCCTTTTCCATTTTTATACTGGGACACCTATTTGACTGACATGACTATGGCAGGCCAAAGCACGAAACTTCCCGGTCTTGTCCATTGGTTCTCTCCTCGACGAGCCATTCACCGGCGTTGTCTACCTCAAGGACAGCGGAATCACCACCGACTTCCGCTCCCTCAAGGGCAAGCGTATCGGCTACGTTGGAGAGTTCGGCAAGGTATGGAACTCATGCATCTAGCTACATAACTATTAGATCACTGCTAACGTGTTGACTAGATCCAAATTGACGAGCTCACCAAGTACTATGGCATGACTGCCGAGGACTACACTGCTGTCCGCTGCGGCATGAACGTCAGCAAGGCCATCATCCAAGGCGACATCGACGCCGGCATTGGCCTTGAGAACGTCCAGATGGTCGAACTCGAGGAATGGCTCGTCAGCCAGAACCGCCCCCGCTCCGACGTCCAGATGCTCCGTATCGACGAGCTCGCCGAACTCGGCTGCTGCTGCTTCTGCTCCATCCTCTACATCGGAAACGAGAAATTCATCTCCGAGAACCCAGAGAAGGTCAAGAAGTTCATGAAGGCCGTCAAGCGTGCTACCGACTACGTGTTGGAGAAGCCCGAGGCTGCCTTTGAGGAGTACATTGACATGAAGCCCATCATGAACACCGCCGTCAACCGTAAGATCTACGAGCGTTCCTACGCCTACTTCAGCAAGGACTTGAAGAACGTCGCTCGTGACTGGGAGAAGGTCACCAAGTACGGCAAGCGATTGGGAGTTTTGGACGAGTCGTTCAAGCCAAACTACACCAATGAGTTCTTGACCTGGGAGATGGAGCCTGAGTCTGCTGATCCCACCGGTGACCAGAAGAAGATGTGTGCTCTCCAGAAGAAGGTTGCTGAGGAGGGTGGGTTCAAGAGAATCCAGGTCTCTGCTTAAATATCAGGTATCTCACCAAGAGTAGCCAGTCATGTCTGATGGAAAAAGGGATATGGTCACCTTTTCATCCCAAGTCCTGTCTGTCTTTTCGAGTTTCAAAAGGTAGCAGCCACTCATTTATATGCGTGACAATGAAATTATATGAGAAGATATCTTCCATATAACCCTTGATTCCTGAAAGCTGTAGAACGTCGCTGGAGTAAACGGAAAATGAAAACATGGTAGAATACAGTTATTCTCTAAGTTAGTGTACAACAAAAAGTGTCATGGTCCCTTTTGGTCAAACAATGACAATGGTATACCAAATATAATATCAAGCCATCCACCGGGCTCCTCTAGGTATCTTCCGCAATACAATGCTGAACGCCCCCTACTTCAAATCCATCTACAAGCCACGCAAGAAGTTAGATTCCTTGATGGCTTTCCGTCTTGCATTACGAGCAGATTTGGTGATTTCGCTTCGGGCTTCGAGTCCAGCAGTAGCTGTCTCCAAGTTATCAGTCGCCGCCTCTCCAGTAGTAGCGGCATTGTACTCGGCGGGCGTGATGTCAGTAGCCTGTTCATGGACGGGGATAGCACGCGGTTGAGAAGCAGCTAGCGCAGCCATCTTCTTCTCATGCTTCTTGCGAGCCTTCTTGTTCATATCTGTAGAGAAAAGAACGAACGTCAGTTTTTAAACGCCATTTCAAAACAAGATACAGTATGACAAGACAATTCGGCATTATACGTACTCGAGACATCAACTGAGCCTGCTCCAGTCTCTGATTTCTTCGCAGTCTTATCCAGTAACGTCCATAGCCAGTCTGGATATTCATGGTCTTCTAGCGCAATTGGATCCTGCTTGTTCTTCTCGTAGTTCAATCCGGCTAGCTTGGTACCGGCGGGGACACTGCTGACTATCTTCGGAGCTGCCTTGGTAGCTGTCTTTGGAGAGGCGGGAGAGGCTGCATCGGCTGCTGGTGCTGCTGGTGCCGCAGCGCTGTAGAATCGGTGCGGTTGCCGTGATGGGATGTGAGAATATGAGTATGCGGCCGATGCGGGTCGGGAGGAAGGGAGCCGGGAGAGAAGAGACGAGCGGCACTGTCGACAGATCATTTTGGCGGGAAGGGTCTTCCCTGCAATTGAGGCGACGGAGCAGAGTTGAATTGCAGGAATTCTCGCTTCTTTGATCTTCTCCTTCGTGAAGCTGTTGAAAGAACGAAGAAAAATGTTTCTGAGAAAGTGTCACGTGATGCATCCGGCGGCCCAGGGCTTTGTTGGCTGAAGTTTAAAAAGTCGAAGTAAACATGGAGAGACATGAAACAGATGGTGAAAGGACAATTATCAGCATTTTCTAGTTTCATTCTATATCTATCTACATGGTAGCTAAACTAAGTAATCGTCCCACCCGTATAACTAAGCCAAAAAAAAAACCAACGGGTCAAACTCTGGGTATAGAGGACCATAAACAGGTAAAAGGGGACATCGAAATTCAAACCTGACAGAAGAGTAGTTATGCAAAATACGAGAGATTCAAGAAGGCGTCTAACGATAGATGAGTTTCTTTATGAAGAGGGCTCATCTCTCTTGTGAGGTTCGTCCGGATAATCCATGAAGCTCATCACATGTGGTGGTGTTTCGAGTTCCTGGCATTGCGGGTGCTGCTGAGCTGGGGAATCATGTAGATTCGGCCGTAATACAACGCCCTCAGGTGTCGTTACTGTTAATTTCACACCCTGAGATACCTGTTGTGATGTAGGTGAGAGTAGAGTATTTTGGGGGGAGGATTCGGCGGTGGAAGAGCCCTCTAGCTCTCGTGGAACTGGTGGTTGCGGTGGGTTGGTGGTAGCCGGGAGTTCTGAGATGGTAGTTATAGCATTCCCTGGACGTACGGAAGAATAAGTACCAAGGCCTCGTAATGGAGTCGAGACAGTGCCTTGTGAGACTATCTTTTCATTCGACCAGGCCATGCTATGTGTGCTTGGGGTGATAGTTGTTGAGGAGCCGATAGAAGGAGAATCGACATATGTTCTCGGACTTCCAGCAAAGCTGGAGCCCTCTGAAGGAGCAAACATTTCTGCCCGACATTTACTTCCTAAAAATAACTTTAGTATTCGATTGATCAAGCAATGTAATTATTTGAGGACTTACCGTCAAGCTCACCGCATGGTTCACTACAGGGTTCTGGCTCTGGAGCCTTTCCTATGGTTGGGCTGGTGATACTCTCCGTGGTCTCTTTCTGATGCCGACACAACAGCACCGCACAGCTTCCTCTCCATTTTCCCGCTTTCTTCCTCTTGCGCCGAATATGGAACCAGAAGAATGCGCCACTGAAAAGGAACAGCGCAATAACGACAGTACCTACAATACCTCCAATGAAGGCTCCTCGACTGGGGCCCGAGTGAACGATTGTTGCCTCTGGTATAGGTAATGTCACTATCCCAGTAGCTGGTATAAGTGAAGAGCTGCTGGATGGTGTTGACGACGTAAATGTGGATGTTATAGATTCTGTGGGAATCATCGGTCTGCTGGGCGGTATAGGGGTGGTATATTCCGTGTCCGCCGTAGTCGATGAAGTAGTGCTGGTGCTAGACAATGGAGTTCGAGAGGAAGTCGAGGTTTGCCGCAAAGTCCTGCTGGTGCTGGTAGTAAAGGACGACGACGTTTTGCTCCCATACTTTTCATCATCCGGGCATATCCCAGTGTCGCAAGGGTCTACCGAACAGCATCCTCGATATGGACCTTTCGAACAGGCGTAGAACTGAGTTCCCCTCTCGCAATCAGTCTCGTGCTGGCGAAACCGAAGTCTCCTATCCATCATATTATCGAGATCCAGCCTGTTCTTTCGTCTGAGTGTGGTCGACCAAGTGTAGTGTTGGTGTTATTCAGAGCCACAACCTTTTTCTCAACCGAACTCATTGAGGGATAATATCAACACTGGGTGAGATATTATTATCCCACACTCCTCAGCCTTGCAATTTCGGTTCCAGGGCTGAAAACAATAAAACAAGGAGAACAAAAAGTCTCTGCAGATGAGCTTCGATTTTCTCTTCTCCGACTTCTTCTGTTTTCCTGGTGAAAGAGAACAACTCCTCACGGGGGAGCACCACGAGGATAAAGAAAAGAAAACTCCGGCCGGGCGCAAACGGCACCACCCCCTGGCAACGCCCCCGCCTGGGTATCCATCGCAACAGTTAACTGGGCCGTCTTATCAAAGCGGTGCAGTACATGTTGCTTGTGCTGCACGACGACGGGTTTTGGCATTGGCAAAGAGTCGCAAACAACAAAAGGGGTGATGCGAGCCAATCAGCGTTGGGCTGCGGTTGTTGGATATTATGTCAGCATGATCCATCCTATCAGGGTCACGGGTTTAGCGCGCTGGTTCATAGCAGACAGACGGTGGATGCAGGGGAGGCATTGCTTTTTCCTGCGCTTGGAGGGCTTTATTATGAGGCTGGAAGGTGATCTGGCCTTCGTTGATTGGGACGGAGTAGGTAGGAGGTCCCTATGTGCATTGTGGTGTGGGTGTCGGTGTTTTGGTGGCTATAGATGGACAGACCCCCTATACGCTAAGGTTGATGGGTCAGGCGTCATTAGATGTTGGCGTTGTACAGTTCTCTTACAAGAGCAAACAAGTAGACAAATCAGACAAGACAGCTTTTTGATTCTATTACCTATGCTGAGACCTTTTCATCATGTACTATATTTATTATAAAAAAAACAAAGTAACATACCAGGCCAGACGCATCTCGAGACCACTCCGGTCAAAGCCCATTGTTGTCCCATCTAGCCGACCCCTTATCTCGACAGCGCAATGTCATCAATTCGTAAAATAAGCTTGACGGTTTCGGCTGCAAGCTCGACTGCACTAGTGCTAACCAACAAGGGTTGCAAGACACGCTCGTCAGCAATGTTGACCTTGACTCCACCACTTCGAATGCTAACGCCCGCGTTCTTCTCTCCCATTTCGTGGCGATGACGTAGGTCCGTAACGACCTTGATGCTGTTCAACCCTGCGTTCTCGGCAAGGGTGACGGGGATGACTTCCATGGCGCTGGCGAAGGCCTTCCAGCAGATGGCCTCGGTACCGGCGAGCAGACGGGCCTGCTTAGCGAGTGCCTGTGCGATCTCGATCTCGGGGGCTCCTCCACCTGCAATAAGGGCACGCTTCTTCACCAGGCATCTCACGACGCAGAGGGCATCGTGCAGGGAACGCTCCACTTCGTCGAGGATCAGGTTGTTGGCTCCACGGGCAACAATGGAGACGGTCTGGGCGGCGCTTGGGGAGCGGACGCCGGTGATCTTGAGATATCTGGATCCAGACGAGCTGATCTCCTCTACCAGGTCGGCAGTTCCAAGCTTGTCTTCGGTGAAAGAGTCGATGTTGGCGATGGGCTTGCAGCCTAAGCTCTTGCATACAAACTCCACTTCATCACGCTCAATATCCTTCACGGCAAGAATCTTAACTCGAGAGAGGAAATTGAGGGAGAGGTCGTTGACAGCGTCACGGAGAATCGACTTTTGAATAAGGATGACATTGCACTTTGTCTTGGCGATCTTTCGGATCATATTGAGCAGGTATGTGCGCTCTTCCTTAAGAATCTTATCCATCTGTCTGTAGTCATTGACAACAATCTGATTCTCCATCTGTAGTTATCCAATTGTTAGCGCCGGAGATTTTTAGCGATAGGGTATGGGTGTACGAACATCTGGCTTTGGAGGGCTCAGCTGGAACTGGATCAAAGCAATCTTTGCCTTTTCGACTCTGGTTGGCCCGCCAGCGCTCTTCATTACAGGTTGATTCAGGATCAAACCGTCAACCATCTCACTATCCTCGATGGTTCCGCCGACCTTCTTCACTATCCTGATGTTGCGTAGATCCACATTCTCAGCAGTCTTTGGGTCAATAACTCGGAGGACAGAGTCCACAGCCATGGGGGAGAGCAGGCTAGAGTACTGAGAGACAATTTTGGAAGACAAAGAAGTCGAAGCAGCTTGGAGGAGTATGGCCCTGTCGGATAGAGAGATGGGCTGTGACATATCTTCAAGAATCTTGACTGCGGCAGCGGCAGCACGCTGGAACGACTCAGAGATAACAGTAGGATGTAGGCCTATACAAAAACGTTAGAAGGCAGATTTTGAAGTCGTAGCATCGTATCGTACCTTTGGCTAGTAATCTCTCGGCTGCACCTAGCAGACTTCCAGCAATAACTACAACTGATGTAGTACCGTCACCTGCCTCAACATCTTGCGCAGCACTCAGATCTACCAGCATCTTAGCAGCAGGATGCATAACGGCCATATCCTTCAACATGGTATTTCCATCATTCGTCTGTAACGAGGGTGTATCAGCATGAGGGGTGTAGGTCAGTTTGGTATCTTAAAACATAAACGTACGATTATCGTCTCGCCTTTTCCAGTTTGTATCTATAGAAACAATCAGTCAGCTAGCTCAGCAACGGAGGTGCATAATTGCCTAACATACCATCTTATCCATACCCCTTGGTCCAAGCGACTTTTTTGCTATATGTTAGCCCCGCGTTCCACTATGCTCCAAGACGAAGCTATCGTACCGTTCTTATGGCGTCCGCGACCGCTATAGCAAGGTCAGCAAATGCGTATCAACCGGGTAATTAAAGCAATTCATACCTCTGGCTGCCATGATGTTCGCAGCGCGAACCGCCATGGGCTTCTCCTTATCCTAGTCAAAACGGTCAGTATAAATTCAGGCACCCAGACAAGCGACCAGGCGAAACCACCTACTTTAAAGGTATTATTCATATTGCCCTGGATCCCTAGAGCGGCCGCCATCTTGAATTCCGTAAACTCGACTGGCGCAGAGGTGCTGGAGGGTGTTGCGTGGTTGAAATGAAATAAGTATTTATTTAATCACACATGTGGAGGTGGAATTTGTGAGCTTCCCATAGAAAATCGAAGTGTAAGAGAAAAGGACGAGGTTTGGCTGGCTTGGCGCGGCGACCTTCTAGGCTAAAAGCAAAAGCGACCCGACAAGCTTCATTTGAGCAGACCAACAACAGCTCTCGTGGACACATCAACAAGCCTACGCTACGCCTCTCCCCGGACCGACAGAAGCTCTGCTCTGAGATATCAGCTACGACCGCCGTCTGAACCTGCGTCTACCTTCCGTCTCTGCCTATCGACTCTGTTTCTTTCGCCGACTTGACTCTTACAAATCGCCAACATGCCCAGCGCCACGGGCCAGAACTGGGAGAAGTACAAGAAGAACTTTGCCGATGACGAAGAGCCAGAGAAAAAGATAACGCCGTTGACAGATGAGTTAGTGATTTGGCCTTGTTGAAGCTCTGCTGCTGAGGGATAGACCGCTGACTTCCGTGAAGGGATATCCATGTGCTGAAGACCTACGGCGCTGCTCCATACGCTGCGGCGATAAAAAAGCTTGAAAAACAGATCAAGGACAAGCAAGCAAGTGTAAACGAGAAGATAGGAGTCAAAGTAGGTTGTCTTGATGCTTTCAGTTTGGAATATGGGGGTGTTTTGTTACTTACTCCAAGACTAGGAATCCGACACCGGGTTGGCGCCGCCACACCTTTGGGATGTTGCTGCAGACAGACAGCGGATGGCCGAAGAGCAACCGCTACAGGTTGCTCGGTGTACAAAGATCATTCAAGATGAAAAGGATGCTGAGAAGAGCAAATACGTCATCAACGTGAAGCAGATCGCCAAGTTTGTTGTAAACCTCGGCGAGCGAGTCAGTCCAACAGATATTGAGGAAGGGATGCGAGTAGGGTAAGTTGAGTCTGTCATTATATACTCACCATAAATGCTGACATTATGATGAAAAGTGTCGACCGGAATAAATACCAAATTCTTCTACCGCTACCTCCTAAGATTGACCCGAGTGTTACGATGATGACTGTCGAAGACAAGCCCGATGTTACATACGGTGATGTTGGAGGAAGCAAGGAACAGATTGAAAAACTCAGAGAAGTCGTAGAAATGCCACTCCTATCACCAGAGCGATTCGTTGGCCTTGGAATAGACCCACCAAAGGGTGCTTTGCTCTACGGACCCCCCGGAACTGGAAAGACACTTTGCGCGCGAGCGGTAGCGAACCGAACAGATGCAACATTTATCCGTGTTATTGGCAGTGAGCTTGTTCAAAAATACGTGGGAGAGGGTGCTAGGATGGTGAGAGAGCTTTTCGAGATGGCTCGGACCAAGAAGGCGTGCATCATCTTTTTCGACGAAATTGACGCTATCGGTGGTGCCCGTTTTGACGACGGTGCTGGTGGTGATAACGAAGTTCAGAGAACGATGTTGGAGTTGATTACGCAGCTGGATGGTTTCGATTCAAGAGGAAACATCAAGGTTATGTTTGCAACCAACAGACCGTCTACTCTCGACCCTGCGCTCATGAGACCTGGCCGTATCGACCGAAAGATCGAGTTCTCCCTACCTGATCTAGACGGCCGTGCCAACATCTTGCGAATTCACGCTAAGAGTATGTCGGTGGAGCGTGATATAAGATGGGAGCTTATCTCCCGACTATGTCCCAACTCCACCGGTGCCGAACTGCGAAGTGTTGCTACCGAGGCCGGTATGTTCGCAATCAGAGCCCGCCGCAAGGTCGCAACCGAGAAGGACTTTTTGGCTGCCGTGGACAAAGTCATCAAGGGCAACTTGAAGTTCAACTCCACGGCCACATACATGCAATACAACTAGCCAGCCCGATTTCCCTATATCTATCTATCCTCTTTCAACTTCCGGTGCGGGTGTGGGATTTGGGGCGGGGAACCTAGGATCCAAACGGTGCATCCCGCATCGCCATGTTATACTACCTTTCTTCATTCCATAGAAGCACTCGAGCGTTTCTCTTCCCTTCATCAACGTCGTCTCTCACTTGCGACGGTCACGGAGTAAATAATGGATTTCGATATAGCTTATGTAATCAAATGCAGGAGTATATTGTCACGTGCCACCATCGGGCTAAATCGGGTAAGCTGACCGATAGGCAGTCTCTGATTGGCGGAAGAAAGCCTCGGGATGAAAATGCTTATATAATATTTCGTTCTGCAGGCCAACTTCGCACCTCGACGGGAAAGACGAAACTCCAAAGGAGCGTCAACGGCCTTTGAAGCAGCACCTTATCAACCCGCCAACGCATCAATTCACCCATTGCAGTCTTTGCACATAGCTCTGCTGGCTGGAGTAGCATCATGAGCTTCAGTGGTCTACGGAGCATTGCTCCAACTCGTCAGGTAGGGCTGATTTTTCGGGTTTGTTGATCTTGTACCCAGTTCTTACTGATCTCAATCTGCAGTTGACTCGGGCACTACGGGACCAGAGGAGGTACTTTTCGCAGACTCGCACTGCAGGTATGTGGCATCATCTACATATATTGGGGCTTATGTGAGGAATTGACCGATTTTGCAGCTCGAATCGTCGCCAGCCAACCTCTACGCGCAAAGGAAGCCTCTCCCTTCGTTTCACAAAAGTACCCCGTCATTGTACGTCTATGGACATCATCTTCCCCGGAATATGCTCGTCTGACTGTTATAGGACCATGAATTCGATGCCGTTGTCGTTGGTGCTGGTGGTGCCGGTCTGAGAGCCGCCTTCGGCCTTGCGGAGGCTGGATTCAACACCGCGTGTGTTACCAAACTTTTCCCCACGAGAAGTCACACTGTTGCTGCTCAGGGAGGTATAAATGCGGCTCTTGGAAAGTATGTTAATTTCCTGTTGTAAATTTAGAGGTTGCGGCAGCGTTAACGATCTCTTAGCATGCACAAGGACGACTGGAGATGGCACATGTACGATACTGTTAAGGGTTCCGACTGGCTTGGTGACCAAGATGCTATCCATTACATGACGAGAGAGGCCCCCCAGAGTGTTATCGAACTCGAGGGCTACGGATGTCCTTTCTCGCGAACTGAGGACGGACGTATCTACCAGCGTGCTTTCGGTGGACAATCGCAAGATTACGGAAAGGGAGGTCAGGCTTACAGATGCTGCGCAGCTGCTGACAGAACCGGCCATGCTCTCCTCCACACCCTCTACGGTCAATCTCTCCGCCACAATGCCAACTACTTCATCGAGTACTTCGCCATGGATCTCTTGATGGAGGATGGTGAATGTAAGGGAATTATCGCCTACAACCAGGAGGACGGTACTCTTCACAGATTCCGCTCTCACCACACTGTCCTTGCTACCGGTGGATATGGACGTGCCTACTTCAGCTGTACCTCTGCTCACACTTGCACTGGTGACGGTATGGCTATGGTTGCTCGTGCTGGACTTCCCAACCAGGATCTGGAATTCGTGCAATTCCACCCTACTGGTATCTACGGTGCTGGTTGTCTGATTACTGAGGGTTCCCGTGGTGAGGGTGGCTATCTTCTTAACTCAAACGGTGAACGATTCATGGAGAAGTATGCCCCAACTGCTAAGGATTTGGCCTCTCGTGATGTCGTCTCCCGATCCATGACCATGGAAATCCGCGAGGGCCGTGGTGTTGGCCCAGACAAGGACCACATCTACCTCCAGCTGAGCCATCTTCCCGCCGAAATTCTCCACGAGCGACTCCCCGGTATCTCTGAGACTGCTTCTATCTTCGCCGGTGTTGATGTTACCAAGCAGCCAATTCCCGTTCTCCCAACTGTCCACTACAACATGGGTGGTATCCCAACCAAGTACACTGGTGAGGTCCTCACTCTCGACGAGAACGGAAACGACAAAGTTGTTCCCGGTTTGTATGCCTGCGGTGAAGCCGCGTGTGTCTCTGTCCACGGTGCCAACCGTCTTGGAGCCAACTCCCTCCTCGATCTTATCGTCTTCGGCCGTGCTGTGTCTCACACCGTCAGGGACAACGCCTCCCCCGGTGCCCCACACAAGGAGATCAGCGCTGATGCCGGTGCTGAGTCTATTGCTGCTTTGGACAAGATCAGAACTGCCGATGGATCCAAGTCTACCTTCGAGATTAGAAATGCTATGCAGAGGACTATGCAGTCTGATGTTAGTGTTTTCCGAACTCAAGAGAGTTTGGATGAGGGTGTTACCAAGATCACTGAGGTTGATCAAATGTTTGCCGATGTTAACATCAAGGACCGCAGCATGATCTGGAACTCTGACTTGGTTGAGACCATGGAACTGAGGAACTTGTTGACTTGCGCGTAAGTTTATTCTCCCCTTGGACATGTTATATGTCTCCCCTTACAATATGTATACTTACACGGGCTTCATACAGTACCCAAACCGCTGTTGCTGCCGCCAACCGCAAGGAATCTCGTGGTGCTCACGCCCGTGAAGATTACCCTGAGCGAGACGACGTCAACTGGATGAAGCACACTCTTACCTTCCAGAAGCAACCCCACGGTAAGATTGATCTCACATACCGTGCTGTTAACGGACAAACTCTCGACGAGGCCGAGTGCAAGGCTGTCCCACCATTCAAGCGTACATACTAGACACGTCTAGTTGGAGAAATCAACCCGTAGCAGGTGATGTTCCCCGGTCATATCCACCCCAACCAGACGAAAGGTGGAAAGTCGTCTTCGGTGACGGTGAATTCTTGCTCAAACACTACCTGTATATAACACATTGATCGCATCTTGTCGCCGTGAAGTGGCATATCTTTCTATTGCCCCTTTTCCTACCCGCACGCATTGTACCCTATTCCTCCTGTTATCTTATCTGCTATACGTTCTTGGCGCTTTTCCTTAAAATATATAGCAATGCAACCTATTTCATAATTCAGTCTCCAGCGATACACTCCGTATCGACCCACGACTCTAGAATCCTCCAAGTGCTATTCGTGTTATTGACAAAGAAGAAAAAATCCGGGGAAGTATCAAACTCTATCTTATTGAGACCCTGCCAAGCTTTATCGGCTGACCTAAGCTAAGCTCTATCAGAGGCTTATTATTTGTACGACAAAGCGCAACAGCCTCGAAATCTGAACTCCAAGCAAACCATTGCTAGTAATACCCATCGTCGTGGTTGAAGTGAAGGGGAAGGCCTGGAGATATGACCCCGGCCTCTGGATAGCTTTTAATGATCGCTTTGTGCTGATCTTCACTTGACTAATTAGTGTCCACATGAAGCTGGACAGGATGAGAGTCGGCAGCCGCATCAACGACGAGGAGGCTATGCCCCTGACCGCTCCTGAATCCCGTGCTCGAGACTCGATCGATTCGTCTTCAACGGCCTCTATATCTCTTACTCTCGTCGAAGGAGCAAGCCACGCGACTACGGAACCCTCCAAACCAGCTCATAATCACAACGGCCGTACCCAAGGCAACTACGCAGAGAAATACCGCGATGATCTCGAGGAAGACTGGGAAGAAAACAACTATATCCCGACAAACGGGAAGAGCAGCCAGAGGAGAACACTGATTGTATTCTGGCTGCTGGTGGCTCTTTGTGTTGGAGGCTGGGCGGTTGCTTTCCTGTTCTTCGTTACATCACCAGGAAATAAGACAAGTACTAGCCCACATTCAGGTTCCAACAGCCCAGAAGGCGATGTTACAAAGCCTGGGATCCCTGCGACTGGCAAAAAGATTCCACTTGATGATGCTATAGGGGGTGTGTGGTCGCCTGCTGAACACACCATATCTTGGATTGCTGGGGCGAAAGGAGAAGATGGCTTACTACTGCAGAAGAGTGAGGGGGGCACAGGTCCATACCTACACGTCGAAGATGTCCGAAATATCCATGGCACGCAATCAAACAACAATTCAATTGTCCTGATGAAAGAGTCGGTATTCTTTGTCAATGATGAACGTATTAGCCCTGAAAAAGTTTGGCCATCGCCAGACCTGAAGACGGTACTTGCCATGACACGAGAAAAGAAGAACTGGAGACACTCTTTTACTGGACTATACTGGTTGTTCGATGTTGAGACCCAGACAGCCCAGCCTCTTGACCCTGACGCTCCGAACGGGAGAATACAGCTTGCGACTTGGTCTCCCACTTCGGATGCTGTGGCATTTACAAGGGATAACAATCTATACATCAGGAACCTCACTTCAAAGTCCGTCAAGGCTATAACAACGGATGGTGGAACGAATCTATTTTACGGTATCCCTGATTGGGTATACGAAGAGGAAGTGTTTGAAGGAAACATTGCTACTTGGTGGTCTCTGGATGGAAAGTATATATCCTACCTCCGTACGAACGAGACCCTAGTACCAGAATTCCCTATAGACTTCTATCTCTCGAGTCCTCCCGGCTATTCCCCCAAACCAGGTGAGGAATCGTACCCATACGTCCAACAAATTAAATACCCTAAAGCAGGTGCCCCTAATCCCACCGTCAGTCTCCAATTCTACGATATCGAACGTGAAGAGAGCTTCTCGGTTGATGTCAAGGATACCTTGAAGGATGATGATAGACTCATTGTTGAAGTCATCCCAGGTTCCAAAGGGAAGGTTTTGGTACGAGAAACGAATCGTGAAAGTTATATCGTCAAAGTGGCTGTCATCGATGCCAATAAGCGAGAGGGTAAAATCGTTCGATCCGATAATATCGACGAAATCGATGGTGGATGGGTTGAACCTTCACACACCACAACATACATACCGGCTGATCCTTCTGCTGGTCGACCGGATGATGGGTATATTGATACCGTTATACATGAAGGATATATCCACCTAGCATATTTCACCCCATTGGAGAATCCTAAGCCAAAGATGCTTACGACTGGAAAATGGGAGGTCGTTGCCGCT